TATTTAATAATAATAAATAAATATATACATACATATGATCAAGGGATTCCTGATACAGCTCACCTTCTGTATCAAAAACCCAAAATAAAATGGTTAACAAAACATTATAAACTCTGAAAAGCTTATCAAATACCATTCTAAAAAAATAATAAAACAATTTCAAGTGAAAATTAAACAATCAACGGTGAAATAAGCAATCAAAGGTGATTTCGCATTCCCTTCCCTCTTTTTTTCTCCGCACACTTTAATACGAAGACGAGGTGAAACGCACAGGTGGGACACAAGAACTCTCTGTTAACCAATGTTACTTGCTTCATATTTTGATGGATATAGCTTTTTTTCAAACCAACTTGACTGTATTATGCGTAGACTCATTTATCAACCCGAAGGAAAACGGCGATATCGGTGCATTTATTGCTGTCTGCTATTCTTGAAATTAGGTATCTCCTTTAAGAAAACATTACTGACCAATCAGGCTCAAAACAGTAATTCAACAATGAGCAGAGGACACATGCAAGTCGAGAACATCACGAACAAACACCCATGTCGACTGGTGAGGCTTTTCTTCAAATCTTACCCTGAAGAATGACGAAGAAGACTGAGTGTAGGTTTCGGCTGCTTTGTTTTCCCAATATGACTTTTGATGAGATACGACATTGTTAAACACCGATAACTGACTAGTTGTGATGATTTCAATCGACGTAATTTACTACTCCAAAGTCGTGCAGTAAACGTATTATCACTAGAATCGATAGACGGGTTAAAGTTTTCAAATTGTTCAGCATCCAATTGAAATGGAGTCATTGACATACAAAGCACTTTATTAGCCTTGTTATCCTTCATTTTAAATTGTTCCACTCTCCAGTTAGCTTCACTATTCCTTGGATCAGGCATCCAACGACACATTCCAGATTCTTCAAAGTTACAATCGACAGGGGAAGCAGATGTTGATAAATTCCGAATCGATGTTTTTCCTTCAATTAATTAGAGAAGATAAAAAGTGGAAATAAAGTAGAATGAAGACAGATTACATAAATTCCATGCCGCTCATAGAGAAAGAAAAGAAGTAAAGGAAAGGGAAATAAAGATAAGGTATGTACATAAACGCTGATAACACAGTGTATTCATAAGACTACAACATTGAGATACAAGGTTTCAGTAGCCGTGGTGTTGTCAATTTTACAGGGTGGGATTGCTAGCCTCACACTCAACCTTTGCTCATCCCCACATTTACTATTAGCTAGTGAACTAGATGTTTATGGGTGAATCGGCCAGGAATCGAGGGTAGAACACGCGCGTGGTTGACGAGTATTCTTTCAGGGAACCACCGACAAGTCAGTATCGTGCGCTTTTTATATTTATTTTATTCTTTTTCGTTCCCAGTGGAACATAAGGCTTCAAACTAAAGCTCTTAAGTTTCGGTAGCAGTGGTGTTTTTTACGGGATAGCGTTGCTAGCCTTATACCCAACTTTCCCACTTTGCTTAGCATACCACCGGCTAAGCGAGGTAAAGGAGTGTGTCGACCAGAGATCGAACCCCAGGGCGCTTGCCTGGTTGACCAGTGTCCCATCACTCAACCACCGACGCACAAAAGCCAGCTCCTAGACCGGGAAGCCAGTCATATCATTTTTTCAATAAACAATGAGTATAGATTATAAGAAACAAAGAAAAACCGTTGGTTTAGACCTAACTTAATTAACCTCACTATGCATAAATGATTAATTAGTTAGTTAGTCAATTAGTCAGTCAGTTACCGGATACAGGGCTATGAGCCACACAATAATCGTATGAGGTCTGATGATGCTACCCAAATGACACAACTGAAACAGGTGAGGCGATATTCCAACCCTGGATTCATTGGTTAGAAGACGACTAGTTAGCCAGTGAGCCACATCTCCACCAGAAATGATTAATCCCAACAAAGCACTGAAAGATTATAAGAACTGTCTTTTTTTCATAGATGACCACATTCAAAAGAGTTAAAATTATGTCTTGAAATATTCATTTCACTTCCGACTATAAATCAATGAATATAGAGTTTCTAATCCTAGTGACAATTGTAATTCAAATCATTCCTTAATGCATTTACTGTTATCCGATATTCATAAGATAGGTTAATACAAAAAGTGGACAGTAAAGGTTGAAACATCTTCAACAAAAAATAGGATATCACATATAAGTCAAAGTATGTAGTTATATAGGACAAAAGACGTGGAATATTTATCCTTGGTTATTCTTGATACAAGAATGAAACTCGCCAGTGATATGATCAGAATATTGCCATTTATGTTGCATATGTTGCCTAAGGTGTTCAGTTTCTTTTCTTTTCCCAGACAATTGGTTTGCATATCCTATTTATATTGGTCCGTCATTCTTTGCTTGAAACAACATTTCAGAAACATCGTTCAAGGGAAAAATATTTCCACTAAAAGATGAATATAAGGACATTTTCTTGATATAAGGAAGGTATCTTGGAACCGGCATTTTTAACGACAACAAATTTTCTTCGCATCTATTGTGACCAAACGTTATACATACACTTCGCTGAGAGCATGCTTTCCAAGCAAGAGTACATAATGATGAGTGGGCAAAGCAGGTCTTACCCATCGGAATGTCGCATGATTGTTAAACGAGTTTTTGAAGCCGACTTCATAGGGATAAAATATGAAAACTGAAGACATTGTACTCTATTTTCTTCCCTTGTTTACTAACACGAACATGACCACTCCATAGGCGTGCTGAAACATCGTTACAGAATTTTTATTATCATCAAAAGCAGACTCATAAAGTGCTAAATCAGGATTTGGGAACAGGCACATAGCTTTCGTCTTCTTTTCTGGTATATTGACCACCTGCCATAAAGCTGAAACATCTCTTGGATCCATGTTCCATCCGCATAATGTCCCATCTTCATAAGTACAATTCAAAGGATTGCGTAAATATTTGAAATTTGGACGAATCAATAATGCAACTGAAAACAAATTTGATTTAAATTATTTCTTAATTTGTAAGGATGTATACATTTCAAACAACATTGCACTGAACTCTTAGAAATCACTTGAACTTTTAACTGTATACAAAGATGAAGCCAAGCCACACATTAAAGAATAAAAGACAGAAGAAAGAGGAAGTAGCGGATAAGAAAACGAATTTTAGGAAGAAAAAACGTGAGTACAAGGAATTTATGTAGGTGGAATATGTATGCATCGTTTATTTTAAAGCAATCCTATTAGTCTAGAAAGCACCAATCACAATGTGAAGAGATTCATCCAATCACATGTCTGATACACTAAAAATGCACCAATAGAATTCATATTCACGTGTATAATTACCGAATCAGATCACACTGATTGGTTTTTTCAGTGTCGAATCAGATTTGAAGATACGTTTAGGCAAAGCTGTTCAGCCAATTAACACGTAGTAACAACAAACAACAGGTGATTAAAATGATTTGGCCTTAAGATGAAATTTCTGACGCTTTGTTAACAAACACGTTGTTTGCCCCATGTCGATAGACAAACACCAATAATTATTATAAAGACTAGCTTACCCTGTGGAGTGTTTCATCAGTGTTAAACGGGCACGAGGAAGACGTTTAGTAGACATAACTATATACTTAAATGCAAGACATTGAATCCTAGTGGCTGGATTTGAATTCACTTGACCACTCCATAAACGAGCTGAACCTTCTACACTGCCTGATAACTTATTTCCAGACCTGGCAAAAGTGTACTAGTACTTGGATGTAGACAAGCAGCTTGAGTATGAAATTCAGTAAGATGTATCACTTGCCACCAGGCTAAAACATCTCGTGGATCATCTTTCCAACCACAATAATTTCCATCTTCAAAACTACAATTCACTGGGTTATTTAAATATCGTAAATCCGGAGGACGAGGTGTAACTTCTACAAAATTAAACAGATTACAAAATTGTTTTAAGTGATGAACTAAATTAGATGAATTTATTAACCTCCTAATGAAAGCCAAGCCGTTCCCAAAGAAAAAAACAAGTAAACTGCAGAAGGAAAACGGGTAGAGAAATGAAAGTGGTAAACGCAGGAGAAGAACAACAGCAGTTGAAGTTAGAACTGAGCAGGTTTATCCGAACTGATGATAAGATTCAAATCTTCACCATTTATCCTTCCAGCACTGAGAAATGAATACCCTGTGAATATCCGTTTTCCAATGTAAATGTTTAGTATCCTGTAGAGATTTCTATCCAAAACGTGAAAGTATTCCCATGAATCCCAATATACATCTTCATAAAACCAAACAAGGATATCTCATTGAATGAAACAAAGCGGATCCAAGAGACATTTCACATTCGTATGATTAAAAATGAAGAAGTCCTCTTTTCCTCGTCCAAAAGCTTTCTTACCCAGAAGAATGTTTCATTAATACTAGCCGTGTCTTGTCAAAATACTTGGTAGCAATCATGAATTGAAAACTTAAACACTTGATTATATTATCCGGTTCATAAAAGACATGACCACTCCAGAGGCGTGCTGAAAATTCTTTTGGTGATGACAATGATCTACTATTACTACTAGTAGGCATCTTTGATGGGTGAAACAGTTTGTTTGATTGCATACACATTGCATGTGTATTGTAGTTAGCAAAGTAATGAACTTTCCATGAAGCCATAACATCACGAGGATCATGATTCCATTCACATAGATTACGTTGTTCATAAGTGCAGTTCAAAGGATCTAGGCCAGTAATCAGATTGCACAGACCAACTGGAATATCTAAGAAGAGAAATATGAAATGTAAGCGGTAAACAAGGACAATGTTTCTCTTGAAAAAAACCAAATTTAAATTTCTCCAATTTAATCTGAACCACTTTAAATATTTCCTACAGCCGCAGAATGTGTAAATCCATTAGAAGATGGTTGACAGAAGTAACACGAAGAAAGGAAAGAAAGAATTTTTTAAAAATAAGAAGTAAAGAGGAGAGAAGAAAATATTGCACCAACATCCATTTAGGAATTCCTCACCCTGTCGAATGTTTTAGAAGACTTAAACTGATAGCTGTATCATCTAATTGATGGTTAGCAGTCGCAGTCATATCTGTATCGCGCAGTTGAAGCTTGTACTGAAATTGAAGACAACGGAAATTCTTTTGAGGGCTACTAAGAGAATAACCAAAGTTATTATCACCATCGGGTGCGCTGACATATTCTACTGTCTCACTCCATAAACGTGCTGTAAGGGTATTCTGTTGGTGAATATTTGAAATTTTTCGAAAACCAGTGTGCGAAGGTTTTGGTTGTAGACAAATAACTCGATTATTTGAATCGCCAGGCAGACGACTATTTTTCCACAGAGCTTTGTCATTTCTAGGATCTCCAAGCCAATTGCAAAATTCAGATTTCAAGTCGTCGAAATCACAGTCTAGGTAATGATTCTGTCGCTCGTTGAGATCACTATTTTCTTGATCTTCTAAATCAAACGCAGAAAATCCTGTAACAAAGATGTATAAGGTAGAAGAAGAAAACCAGTGCGTAGAATCTCCATTGTTGTGTGTTAGTGCATATGAATTTAACGTTAATCTAAAGCGAATAATTGCGAAGGATGACCAAGCCGCTTTGACGAAAGTGCAAGAACAAAATAAGCATTAGAATCAAACGCTGAATGCACCAGTCGAAAAATAAGCTGAATAAAGATGAACTTCAACCAAAAAGTAGGTTAGATATAAACCCCATTCACCATCAATGAGTGTGTTAGTTCAAATCAAACATAAAAATTCTTGTGTTAAAAGACACTTCACATCCCAAAATTCACCTTGATATAAAAACCAAAAGAAGACAACACATAACAACCACCCCTCAAAATGTTCATTTGTCAGTCGCAAACTCCAAGAAGTTAGCCAAAGTGTAACAAACTCATCAAACCATTGTGAACACCAATCAATTCTTAACCCATTAGCTCACCCCATTTGTCGACGTAACAGTGACAATGCAGGTACCTTCCCACTACCATATACATCCCTTGACGATACTGAATTCAGTTGAATATTATATGTAAACTTTACACAACTCGGCTGTTTCATAACTGAGACGATTGGACTGAAAAGACGAGCTGTTATGTCGTAGTTGTATTGATGATGCGGAGCAGACAGTTTTCCGATGGTTAGACAAATAGAAGTTTTCTTCTCAGTTACAACTAGATCATTTTTTGAGGAATCTTCCAATTCAATCTTAATCAGTTTCCAATTAGCTGGCCAATTATTTTGGTCATTAGACCAATTGCATGTAGATTCACGAAATTCACAATTCAAATCCATGCTCAAATCAGATGTATCATCCAATGATTCACTTTGTGGCTGAATAGCTGAAAACACGGTGAAGTGAATATATACTTGTTAATAATCAGTTAGTTGGAAGTAGCTTTTGTATAACAACGGAGTTAATTACAGAAAATAGATTGTGACTGAATAAAGCTTTTTCTAAAAACAATTGTAGAGTAAATAATAATAAGATGAATAACCCTGTTGATAGTTTTTTCTACTTTCCCAAGACTCCAATTAATCAACTAGTCTTACCCCATTTGACGACGTAATAATGCCAATTTGGGTGAGGTGTCTGATATTTGATCCGCTGAAGTCGATAACGGATGCCTAGACATTGTGATTTTATAGACTAATTTTAAACAAAAGACATTTGAAGCAGCACTCATTAAAGGACTAAAAAGTCTAGAGCTTATATCCATTTGTTGCGATAATTCAGTCGAATATAAACAAACAGATCCTGAATTTTCTTCATGAATAGCTGGCGACAAATCGCTCTCCATGTCTAGTTCCCAGTTAATAGGCCAATTATTTTGGTCGTTAGACCATTTACACATAGATGAATCTGTAAAGTTGCAATCCAGTGTTGATGGAAGAAAGCGACTATGAGTAACCATTGATTGGCCCAAATTTGCAGCTGTAGAAAGATTGATAAGTAAGAACTTAGGATGATGTCAATTGGTTATATGAAAAAAGAGGAATACACATATTAATATGAAGGGATACTGAACGTATTGATAACCAAGCTGCTACTGCTGTAGTGATGAAATGAACTCTACGCAGATATTTCTGTTGATTTATATTTGAAGAACAGCTTGAAAGAAACTAATAATTGAGTGGAACATACATTCATTAAGATTACGTAGGGGGTTAAAGGAAGGATAGACAGATATGAAGAGATCAGAACCATTGAAAGAATAAGGATGAACAAAACCGTATCCATATAAGCTAAATAGTCTCACCCTTCACGGCGCATTAATACAGATAACTGAAGCTTTGATTGATCTTTCCCAGTGATGAAACTAACTTTATGATCAACTGACTTCTGTAATGATGAACCAGTATCTAATTGATACGACAGACTTAAACACTTAGGCTTGACTTTTCAGATAATTTCTTTATACGTATTAACTGACTCCATAGACGAACAGTTAAACTCATAGATTCTGTCGATTCATCATCATCATTAGAATCTTCTTTATCAAGTTGTAGACATAAATGTCTATCATTTATGCTACGAATATCATAAGGACTATTATTGTTATTATCATTATTGTCATGTGGTGATTTCCAAAGTTTCCATCGTCCACGCCAATCATTTAAATCATGTTGCCAATTGCATAAAGGCATTAGTGAATTATCGAAATCACAAGATAATGATTGATCCATAGGTGAACGACCTTAATTAAATAAGAAGATAGAAGGTGTCAGTGTCATTCCAGAATTCATCTAGCAAAAAAAGAACTCATAGAATAATAATAATAATATGAGTAGAAAAGAGTTTCAGTTAATTTGTAAAATGTTCATGAAGGATTCGATAAGAGATGACAAGAATGATGAAATAATACAAAATCCATTTTTTTTTTATAATTTGTCAGATCATATATCCATGAAGTTATTGGCACATCACGATTGTCTGGATGGGGATCCCAGAAGCAAACTGAATCAGTGGTCGGAAAATTTGACTAGATATGAATGAGAATCGTAATCAACGGTGAATATGCTGCAATTCCCTCCCTTCCTCTTTCTGAAAGTAACATAAAGTGATGAATGCTGTTTGAATGCAATTGATTAGTAGGCTTGCCTGTTTTTATAATCCTGCTCTTCAATTATTCTATTTCTTTTCCACATATTGTCGTTTTATTACTTTTGTACGGCGCATCTATTGGTGACCATATTAATTCACTGTTGAATTCCAATAGACGGTCTGTAAATGACTCACAACTGTCTACTTCACTATCAGTACAGTTAGATTCTGTGTTTCCTTCAGTTCGAATAAATAAATCAATATCCCAGTTTCTTCTTCATTTCTTTGAGTTTCGAGTGATGAAACATAGGGCTTCCAACTTGAGCTTTGAAATTTTAAAGGCAGTGGTGTCGTTTCTTTTCATGGGGGAGTTTGTCAGTCCCACGCTTAACCTTTCCTCTTTAGCCAAGCTTATTATCAGCTGGTAAACTAGGTGAGGTTTAGGGGTGCGCTTGCTGGGAATCGAACCCCGAACCAGGTACGTGGTTAGCTAGCATTCTACCACTGAACCACTAACGCGCAATAGTTGGTTAGCCAGAAATGAGTTATCCAGAACAGATTTCTCATGTGTCAGATTTATTGTTTGGGGAATAAATATATGTACTCAGTTGTCCAAGCTAAAGTAGGTGAATTGGGACTGGAGCCTACGAACAATGGACTGAAAGTCGATGGCTCAAGATAATGTGCCACATCAACACAGTTTGCTTATAACTCATAGTATAGTTTGACTTAAGATAATGAAAGCTTCTGGATAATGTACAAACCGAAGGATCATAAAAAGCTTTCCAATTAAAATCATGACATTTAGCTTAAATGTAAGGGAAAGGAAACTTTCAGTTATTTACACCTCAGATTCTCTTTAACATAGTTTCTTAATCTTCTCTACTCAAAGTAGTTAGAACAGAGAACGCGGCGGGGGTGTTCCCTACAAAATTAAAAGGGTGAATGCAAACATCTGGCACTTAGAACCTAGGTCTACCTAGGGGAGCTACACAACCCTAGTTCCAAACCTACAGTGTATAATGGCTCCTGAACCTGAAAGGATCGAGTGGTATAAGGATCTGTTCGTGCCACTGCTAACCACAGGAACAAAGCTCCACGGCTTTGTGGATCAGACTTCAAGTCAAAAGCTCCGAGGGTGAAGCCTTATGACAGCTTTCCGTTCCAGTCTGAGCAGTCGGGCAGCATCCCAGTCCTGGTACAAACTATAAGATTTTGTGTGGCACATCTCATGGTGATTTTAATGTATCAAGTCTGTATTTTAGTAAGAACAGAACCGATAGTGTTTGAATGAAACTAAAGTCCTAGCCAGGTGGTAAATGTTATAAGTTCAACAGAGGATTCTTGTCAAAGCCCGTGGAGTTAAACGCCTAGATGGCCATAAGAGTGGATAGGAAGAAAGGGGTTTATAGAAATAAAAAAGTAAAAGGACAGGAAATGTACAACTTCAGAATAAACAAAACAATACACTCGACAGACAAGTGAGAAATTCGAGAATTCCAAATAAGCCACCAAAATTTTCATCGCTTCCAAAAGTAACCACTCAACAACGTTTACAATAATCCATAAAATCATACCCTCGTTGACGCCTGAGAAGAGCAAGACTTGGAACTTCCTTCACTGGTACTTTACGAGAACCGCTGAAGATATGATATGCAAATGATAGACATTTAGGAGGTGAAACGTATTGATGAAAAGATTTGTAGGATACAGAACTGATTGGTGGACTCCAAAGACGTGCTACATACATATCTTCAATAAAATCGCTTTGTTTAGGAGTACGAAAGCATAAAACATTTTCTGCAAAACGATGAGAGTGTGTTTCTTTTGAAGATAAAGTCTCTTTTTCCCATCTTGATTGACCCCAATCATTCTGATCCATTGACCATTGACAAGGTTGAGAGAAGTTGCAATTCAACGACGACATTTTTGACCGTTCACCTTAAAGTGATGCATATAAAAGTGAACAGATTGATAGAATATTGAACGCGGGGAAAAAAATATAAAACGCTTTCCAAAGCCACCCAAAATTATTATGAGATTTAAACGTAAATCTTAAGAAGTTTAATCTCACCCCCTCTGACGCTTCAATATAGAAAGACTCGGGGTCTGAACAACTGTCGTATCCACTACACCAAAATGTTCAACAGGAGGATAAAAGAAACGAAATGAAAAAGAAACACAGCGGGGTTGATATTCAACTGTTGGATTCATTGAATTTTCTGCATCATATTCCATTGAAGATTCATCTATAATGCCAACAGATGGACTCCATAAACGTGAGGTCAGTGTTTCAGAGCTTCTAATCGTAGGTGATCTATGCAAACACATAGCGCGTCTTGATCCGATTTGACTATCATCCTTATCATTATTATTTATCAACGGTAAATTGTCCATTTTCCATCGAAATCTTCCCCAGTCATTGTGATCAACAAGCCAACTGCAGTTGTCACCATGGTCAGTAGATCCTCCATGACACTGAAGTATATCCACATTTGAATTTGCTGAATATAAAAAGTAATAAGTAAATTTGACAAAGCTTTAATGATTTGCCTTGAGAATAAACACGCAGCTATTTGATCGATGCTATTACAGGATATTTATGAGTATAACTCTAAATTTATGCGGCATATTTAAGCCGTATTTACAGAAAATTTATATAACGAAGGATGTAAACGAAGCAGAGGCAATTCGATTCTCAGAGAAAATTAATTACATAGCTCATGAAACAACGAGTGACTTTTCTTGGAGGTGATTTACCAAACAGCAGCAAATATGCACACAGAAACGATTGCCACCGTCGGGAATATTTTTCGCCACACTGAGTTCGGAAATAAAGAACTTCTTCACATAGTGGGTTAGGTATAAACACCTTCAGCACCAAAAATAGACATTTTTGTCGCCTGACGAGTGAGGAAACCACCTCGCAACTCCAAATCCACCTTGATACAAAGCACAACAATCTAAATGTTTCATCGGAAGTGGCAAATTCTAGGAAGTTAGCCAGAAGTGTAACAAACTCATCAAACCATTGTGAACACCAATCAATTTTTTCAACCCATTAGCTCACCCCATTTGTCGACGCAAAAGCGATAATACAGGTCTCTTATCACCACTGTATTCATCCAAACCTCTACCAGTCGACAGGGATTCTCTCGGTGATACTGAATTCAATTGGACATTATATTTAAGTTGCAAACAACTCGGCTGTTTCATAACTGAGACGATTGGACTGAAAAGACGAGCGGTGAGGTCATAATTGAACTCTTGACGCGGAGCAGACAGCTTTCCGATGGTTAGACAAATGGAAGTTTTCTTCTCAATTGGAGTCACATCACTTTTTGATAACTCTTCTTGGTGGTTCATTGTAGTCAATCGCCAATTTATAGGCCAATTGTTTGGATCATTAGACCAATGGCATGTGGATCCACGAAAGCTGCAATTTAAATCCACATCAGTATCTGTTGCATAATCATACGCTTCATTTGGTAGTTGAGCAGCTGAAAATACGATTAGGTGAATTTGTTGATTAGTAACCAATAGTTTGACGATAAGTATCATTTAACATACATTCGTAACCTGTAAAGAAGTGAAACAAAAATGTTACGAAGTTTAATCTCACCCCCTCTGACGCTTCAATACAGAAAGACTCGGGGTCTGAACAACTGCCGTATCCACTACATCAAAATGTTCAACAGGAGGATAAAAGAAATGGAATGAAAAGGAAACACAGCGGGGTTGAAATTGCACCACTGGATCCCCTGGATTATCCACATTATACTCCATTGATGATTCATCCACAACACCAACAGATGGACTCCATAAACGTGAGGTCAGTGTTTCAGAGCTTCTAATCGTTGGTGATCTATGCAAACACATGGCGCGTCTTG